CACTTTTGTTTTCTTATTATCCATGGTAACTTTCATATAACAAATGCAGTTAGAAGATTTGCATTGAAAATCGTGGCTGTCAATTTGAATTTTTTTTATAATTAATTCTCATTCATGTTTTTTTAAATATCAGTTAAAAATTGTTGATGTTAATACTTTTTTGTTTGGTTAGTTATAAGCGTTTTGTGTTTAAATTCAATTTGTTTTTTGGATGGTTACAAAATATAAAAAATCGATGACAAAATACACGCTTATATTTTGTGTCATTTCCTGTTATAGTAATTCTAAATTTCCAGGAATTTCACTCAATCAAATGTTATATTTTCAGATAATTTAGGCCCAGTTCATTCATCTTCAGATTGCTAATAACTATCTGCAAGATAAATTTACCGTTCTGGAATTCTATTGGTCGGTGGATAACTGGCCGACCAATGGTATTACAGATTTCGTTTTCATCCGTCAGATTGCATAGGTACCTAACAGTTTATCAGAAGGTGGATAAACCGGCCCTTAGACTATTAAATTCAATTACCGAGCATAAATAAAATATTTAAATTATTTTTTTTTAATGATATTTGCTCTACAGGTTAATCCGAAATGACATAAATTTTCCTTGGAATCGGAAACTATTTTTGCTTGACGTTAAAGCGGGAGGTAAAACTACATATAAAGTGTTATACCTCATTAAAATGGAAAAAAAATATATGATTTAACAAAACTATGATGTTACCCGGGTGTCCCATATAAAAAATTATAAGTTTGTCACATATTGAACCAGGGAATAAAACCAAATAATTAACTTGAAATGCAAGGGTTCTTATAAAAAGTGGAAAGTTTCAAATACCATAATTATATTGGCAAATTACAAAAGAATATAGACAAATTATCTCGGAAAGAAAATTCCAGTACGCCAATGAAATCTACGTAAAAAACTGCGTCAGATATGATTTTCACCTTTTTGATATCTTTTTTCATACGCTAGATAATGACTACCTCCGAAAAGTGAACATTTCAAGTTTCACCCTGTATCTCCGAAACGAAATAAGATAGAGACTTGCGGTTTGCGACATTCGATTCGTCATAAAAAATTGACCCGGGAATATGGAATAAAAAAAAAATCTTTCTCTACGAGTTTAGCAGATAACCCCAATTCCCATCTTCAATGGGACATCCTGTACAATGAGGCTCATATAAGAACCCGGAACATCATAGAAAGGGTAAATGGAATAATAAAGAGGCGTTTTCCTATACTTGCCTATGGATGACGTCTAAAACTGGAGACGCTTTTAATAATTATAGTAGCTTTGGCAGTTCTGCACAATATATGCAGAGAACAAAATGAGGTTGATCCACCAGATCCAGAAGACTTGGAAAGATTTTTGAAAAGGATGGAAGAAGATTTAGTTCCTGGAATTCCACCTGTGGACCAAGCTGCAGACTTACAAGCACTTGGGATAAGAGAGGGAATAAAATTATTTTGCAGATTTAGATAGATAGAAAATGTATATAATTATGCATAATATATTTTTGCTGTTTGGTTTTTAGTGCAATCTAGAAATAAAATAATTCCATTCCAAACTTAGTTTTTTTTTTTTAATTCTCCCTGCATAATATTATAGAGCAAGCCTTTTTCGCAGTATTTTGGAATAGTTCATAATTTGACGAGGTTTGCACAATTTTTTTTTTTTTTTTTTTTTTTTTACGGATATGCGCACTCGCAAGGAAATGTCCTATCACGCTCGAGAAGCGGCAAGTGCGCGGAAATGTCGGTGTATGTTGGTCTTGAAACGGAACATCTGCGATGTTCGAGACCATCCAAGTTACGAGTAAGTGCGGGGTCATTGATCAGATTGATAGCTCGTTTTTGCACGGTATTCAAAAGCATTAAGGTATGTTTGGGTGCTGCACTCCATATATGTGAGCAGTACTCCATAGTTGGTCGAATCTGGGCTTTGTAGAGTGTCAGCAATTGGCTTTGTGTGTACAGATGTCTTGTACGAAATAGCACCCCCAGCTTTTGGGAGGCCTTTTTAGCAATATATGCCACGTGACTATGCCAAGACATGTTGGTCTCTGCAGTAACCCCCAAGATGTTCAACTGACTCTGTAATGTGACAGCACTTCCAGATAGCATGATGTTTGGCTCACCGGTGCTGGTCTTTTTTGAAAACAGAGCTGCTTGGGTTTTCTGCGCGCTGAACTGTACAAGGTTTTTGTTACCCCAGTCCTCTACTATCTGCAGGTCGTTATTTATCTGCGATATTTGAGCTAGTCTAAGATGATGGAATTCACGTGCGGAAAGACCTGTGGGTGGTATGAGTGAGGAGACTACATTGCTATCGTCTGCGAAGCAATAAAGTGGATTTAATGTTTTATCTATGAGGTCATTTATGTAAATCAGGAAAAGAGTTGGCGAAAGGATTGCTCCCTGTGGCACACCAGCATTTATTTGGTAAGAGTTGGAGTTCTGGCCATCCAGTGCAACATAAATGGATCTGTCCTTTAGGTAACTTTCAAACCAAGTGCAAAGTTTCGGCGATAATCCCATTGCTTTGAGCTTGTTGAGCAGATTTTCATGCCAAACTTTGTCGAATGCTTTAGATATATCTAAGGCAATTATTCTTGTTTCACCCCGCAACCCAATCGCTTTTTGCCATAAGTGAGTGACGTATGTAAGTAAATCGCCAGTTGACCTATATTTTCGAAATCCGTATTGCTTATCGTTGATAATTTTGTACTTTTCCAAGTACTTGGTTAGGTGATTGTTCACAACTCTTTCCATTACTTTTGATATCACCGGAAGTAAAGCAATTGGTCTATAGTTAAACGGATCTGTCTTTTTTCCTTTCTTTGGAATGGGTTGTACTGCGGCAGACTTCCATGATGATGGATATACTCCTTGCCTGTAAGACAAATTGAATAATTTTGCGAAAGTTGGGGTGAGTTCGTTGGCGCAATTTTTGAGTACTATTGCGGGAATGCCATCCGGACCCATTGCTTTGTTTGTATCCAGCTTTTTTAGGGATTTTCGTATTTCTCTGTGACAAAAGGGTACCTCTGGCATACTATGGGAAACCCTTTCAATGAACGGTGGAGTTTTTCCGTTTGGCACTGTTAGGTTGGAGTTGGAGGAAAACATTTGGGCAAGCATATTGGCTTTTTCCTCTGATGTTGTGGCTAAGTGATTATTTTTATCTGTAAGTGGTGGTATGGATGACTTGGTGAAGTTAGATCCAACAGCTTTTGCAAGAGACCAAAAAGACCTAGAACTACTTGGACAATTCAGCAACCTGTTTTTTATTCTTTGATTGTATGTTTCTTTAGCGGAGTCAATAGTAATTTTGCAACTATTTCTGGATTCTATAAATTCTGTGTGGTTTTGAGCGGTTTGTTGTCGTTTCCAAAGGTTATATGCTCTGTGTTTTTTCTGTACAGCTGTTTGACACTGGCTGTTGAACCAAGGTTTTGCATTAGCTCTACGTTTAGTTGTATGTGGGATATATGCGTCCATTCCAGATAAGATTACTTGTGTTATTTCATTACAGCAAATAGTAGGATCAGCTGTTTTAAAGCAAACCTCTTGCCATGGAAAATCCAGGTAATACTGTTTTAGGTCATTCCATTTTGCCGATTTATAGTGCCACATTTTACGAGGAAGTGGTTGTAGGCTTGGTGGGATGAGCATTTCGCACTTTGTTATTATAAGTTTATGATCGGACGAACCAAGTGGAGCATCTACTTGAATTGTGTACGAGTCAGGATTGGTGGTTAGGAACAAGTCTAAAAGCGCTGCAAATTCGCCCCTTTCTGAGATACGGGTAGGTTCATCGACAAGCTGCGTTAGACCACAACTTATGGCAAAAGCTTCTGCTTCTCTGCCTTCGTTATCTGTTTTGTTGTGTTGTTTCAGCCAGGGTATATTGTGGACGTTGAAATCGCCTAAAAAGACAATTTCCGCCTGTGGATAGTTTGACTGTATACTATCACAGCTTTCGGATAATGTCGCGAAAAAGTTTTGGTAATCGGTGTTACTTGGCGGTCGGTAGAGGCAGCAGATAAACTTGGTCGATGACTTTGAGGTGAATTTTAGCCATATGATATCAAGGTTCGCTGGTTCTAGCTTCTCCTCTCGATGACATGAAAGGTCATTTTTAATATACACACAGATCCCAAAATTATGTCGAAATCGGTGGTGTAGGTCATAGCCGGGATAAAGATAGTTCACAATAGGTGTTGCAGAACTGATTTTAGTTTCAGTGAGAACAAGGATGTCAGGTCCTTGTTCTTCAAGATGTTGGTGAACTGAATTCATATTTGTACTTATTTCTCTTATATTGCTAAAATCAATTCTGAGTTGAGTTTTTGATCTTCTCTTTATATCTTTGCATGAAGGATCCCCAGGATCACCCGACGCCCGGAGATCCGAGTGGTCGGGTATTTTACCTCCGGAATATTTTGATCCTGGAGGCGCCATCATGCTATCTGTTACTCATTGTTGGAACCGGACTGCCAGCGCAGTAGCGGAACGTGGTGATACCACTTAGCGCTACTCAATTCTGGCATGGTGGTATCTCACCGGTCGACGCCCAATGAGTAAAAAGCGTCTACCACCTACCTAGTTCAATCAAATGAAGGTTTAAAGCTGTGCAAATTATTTACATGTGAATGATAACTAGCTCAGTTCATAAGTGGAAAAGCTGGTTTGTTAATTACAGTTTAGGTAATATTTATCAATTTTTTTTATTTTTCAACAGGATGTATTGCACAATGCCTTAGAAGGTACATTTTAATTCAAAGAAAATCAGTGTTTCAGTTCATAACATGTCTTAAAAGAAACAAAATAATATGATAATGAAAATAAAAAATAAATATTTTGCTCTGCAACACAATCGCAACTTAAATAATGTTGACTATTCCTAACACTCGGGTACTTAAATGTAATTAATCAATACATATCTAAATATTTTCTTTGGCTCGTTAACTAATCGCATTGACTTTTTTTATTCTACAACAAATGCTTGAAGACGTTTTACCCCCAACTGTTTTTTCTCAATTTCTAAATTAAGGCTCTCTTTATTAAGTTCGTGGATTTCTTCTTCCCTTTTTATTCGACTTTTAGCTAGTTTCAATTCCTCCGAGTATAATTCAAATTTTGCCTTAGCCAAGGAAGAGTATTCTTTTTTTAAATCTGCCCCACCCGTTTCCTTCATTGCAGGTTTTCTTCTGGAGCTCCATGCACTACATCCATCCACATGTAAATCATCTTTTTTTGTTTTAAATATCCTTGCTTGATTTTTCCTGTGAAGGAAAAAAATTATTGGTTACAGGAGCAAAGAAACGAAACCAAATATCAACTCAAAAAGCAAGCCAATTTTGTTTGGCATTTAAAAATAAGTAAACCACAAAAGAAAACTATGTTGGTGTGATGGCTTGTATCAAAATTTCAGTTTTTAACTAAAACCTATTATTAGACCTAAGTTAAAAAAGGCATATGAAATATTTGATTTTTTTTAAGTTGAAGTGATTTCCCCAAGTGATTTCTCTATCAACCCTGGAAAGGTAGAAAAAGAAAGCACATTTCTATAATATAAACCTACAAAAATTCAAAACAGATTTTACCATTATAACGCTGTCTTCATTTGTGGTGGCAGCAAATTTCTGGCAGGATTCATTTTTTTGGTATTTATTGTTTTGTGGTTCTGTATTCTGTAAAGTAAGAATAATTTGAAGGTCATTCTCTATCATACTTACGGTTTTCCCATATCTTATCAAAAAAAAAAAATATTGAAGTGCCAATTTAGCAGAATTTTAACTTTTTGAAGTACCTACTATAATTTTCTCAATAAGATAATATACCACAGGACAAAAAATATCATTGAGCAGCTCCATCCCCATCGAGATCCCCACCTCTCAAAAAAAAAAAAATGCAGTACCTATGTGAAAATTGTAATCACCATTATTTGAAATTTTATCGTTTCATCTTTAAAGATGGTAGGTATAACAGCTGAAATATGAGCAACACTTAGAGCAACCTATAATTTTTTGTGTCAAAAACATGGTTAAAACAATAGTATAAAAAAAACAAAACCTTCCATATCTTTTTATTCATGAGTCTTGTGAAATTAATTTGTATGTTTTGAAAATAGAAAGAAAAACATGAAAGTAGGATTCTATGAAAAAATAGTAAAAATTACAGCTGTTCGAGTTTCTGTTATTGTATACATAACAGATCAAACAACAAAATTCAGAAATGAACATTGGAGATGGATAATTACATAAAACGAAAATTCCATATAAATGTTCAGATTGAATTATCATTATAGGTACTTCAAAAATTAAAAAAATGTTTTCTTAACTAATAAAAACTCGCAAAGTGAAGAAAGTGAATGCATTTTCTTACCACTAATATTCCCTTTCTAGGAGTGGATGTTTCCACAACTATAACTTCATTTTCATTATCGAAGGAGAAATAATCATTATCAGTGTCTAGTTGGTAGAAGTCTTTGCTGCAGCCTGGCTGAGGTAATTTTTCTCTATTCTCCTTCACAGCATCTCCATCGACAGTGCTTGGTAGACCATAAACAGTCTTACTGTTAACAATAGATGATATTTGTTCCTTTAAATCATTTTCAGCCTTTGGTTTCTTAGCAAGTGGTGGCCCTTCTCCAGTACAAATAAGTAGTTTTTTTTTTTTCATCAACCACCTGTTTCCTAACATTTTTTTTTTAATTTTCGTAAAGCTTTCTCAAGGAATTTTTCGTCCGAAATACTGCTATGGATTTTGAGCTGAAAATCTCCGCTATTTTCTCCCATGCAGAGTCTTTTTCCCTCCAGGTAACTGCGTCAGTTTTCTTGTTTTCGACAACGTTTTTAAAACGTTGGACAATACTAAGCAATAAGCTTTTCTCGCTTACCGAATAATTCACTTTTTTTTGCAGTTTCGTTCATTTTCGACCAACACAATCGTCACAACAGAAAAAGCAAAATTTATTTTAGAAACAAAAAACAAATATTTTTCAACAGCTGACACTCCTGACAGAAAATAATCAATAATAATCATTGTTGCCACACAAAAAACACAAAATAAACCAACTTATTGCATTGTTGCCATTAATTTCCTCCTCTTTTCAAAGCCGAACATATTCCGAGCTTTTGCAAACCAACTAAACCTCAAGGGTTACCCTCAGCTCAAGTGGCGCCTAGGCAAATGGTAGATGTAGGGGCGAGTGGTGCACACGGGCATTAACAACACAGAATTAAATAACAGTTATAGTCTTTACACTAAACATAACACGGTGGAAGTCCACAAATACACACAGATAACGCTCTATCACTACGAAACACTTTTTCAACGAAGAGAAATATTAAAGCAACAATAGGAAGCACAACGTTTTCCAGTTCATCGTTTTGTCATCATTTGTCAATTCATGAATTTATGTCGGTTCATGTCAAAATTTAATTAGTAATCACGTCACCATCCTTCTGAAGCGGAAATACCTTGGAGATACAATCAACAACGCGTACGTCAATCAATTGATAGCGCCTCTGCCCATAGAGAAATATAATAGTAGTAAACTATGAGAGACGTTTGTTTGATGTAACAATCTGGAAGTGTGTTTGTACACATACCCGTAGTGTATTTCGCATGGTGTGGCAGATTATTGAACTAATTACTTCGATCGTTTCTGACAACTCGGTTTAATTTGTCTTTGTTAGCAACTTGCCCGAAAATGTTCTATCTTTTTTTAACACATACAAAATACAAAATTGTCAAAATTTGACAAATTATTGAATCATCTATGATTGAATCCGAAGACCATCAATCAAAAACTGAATGCTCATCATCATAACTTAAAATTTATTCTATTATTTATATTAGAGAAATGAGAAAACATTCTGTGATCATAAATATTAATTAATTAGACAAAACCGACACCAATAATAGTGTGTTTTCGAATTTGCGATGATGCGAGATGCAGTAAAAAGGTAAACACAAAGCTTATTATACAAACATTTTTAGTTACTATATATTTATAAAATTGGAATAAAAAAATAAGTTTGTTTGAAGATATCTCAATTTTTGTATTGTTCAATTACCTCCTTAACCCCCTTAAGGAGTCTCATTGCATCTAATTTGAATTTTTTTGCTTTGCAATTAACAGTTTTGAACGTCTACAGTACTTTATTTTTAATAAATCTTAAATAAAATCAAAGTTAATAATTTAATTATTAAAAAAAGCCGCCATTTCACTGTCGGTAAAAAAAAAACCTGCATTTAAACAATGTTCACTCTTTTATTGCTGTCCGTAGCCACCAGAGGCGCTAACGTCGACATTGTGCCAGTTAAGTACAGGGGAATGACTTCTCTCGTAGTTTACTACCATTATATTTCTCTATGCCTCTACCGAGCATGAAACATTTGAAGATCGCGGGGTATGCAAACTGTTTTGATGGCTTATTTTCAAGATTTGACAAAGTCATATTCTCGAAATTCCTTTTGGATAAAGTTCTCAATGTTACGTAAAGAATTAATAGTTCATAATAAGATAAGAAGCAATGAAAACCTAAAGCAAACTGTTGAAAGTTATCGACCTAAAAAATCGATGTTTCTGACTCAAGAACAAGTTATAACTTTCCTCAAAGACTGAAAAATATTTGGCAGATAAAATTGAATTAGTGATAGATGTATTCGGAGCTTGTAGAAGATGCGTGCGTGAAGAAATTGATCAGAATTCTGAAGCAAAAGCAGCCAGAACCACCTAGAGCTACATCAAAGGTTACAAGATCAATAAGAGTAATAATCACATTTATATTGAATTTATCTCAAATTATTTTTGATGGCCCAAAACTGCTGGGTTATAGCCATACAGGAGGCAAATAATAATAGGAAAACATCCTTTTTTTTCTAGCGAGGAATTACTCGGAAAGCAAGTGAAGAATAAAGCTACAACAAGTAGGAAACCAAGGCAACTTCGTCTTTAGTAATATTTTATTTATACTTAATAATTGTTCTGTTTCTTAAATATTAATAGTTTCTTAGTTGTAATTGTAATTGATAATGTATTATTTGTTCAGGCTGAAGAAAATGAAGATTGAAGTATGCCTGGAAATTAAATTTGTGTTTCGTGCAAAAAAACTTGTTTATATATTATTGACATTAATTGACATTCCACATTTTCCTGACGGACAGCTGGCTCTCTGACTGCGCTGGTTACAGGTACTCCACAGAGCGAAAGTTAGGCCTGCATTCACATGCAGCGTTGTGTATCTCAACTTATTTGTCAATGTGAACTTACCAACTAGGATTTTAAACTTTTTATTGTACCGCCCTCTCTTACATTGTATTTCATGTAATTTTGCTGTCTTATACACTGTTCGGACTTGACTGCTAGTGCAAAAGATGTGGTTTTCCTCTCGCTGTGCCAACGCCTTGAGTCGTGATATTTGGCAGCAGACACATATAAAATGTCATGTTTGTCATTGTTGTTGTTGTTGATCCATATTGATTGATCGGTCGATTATTATCAATTATGTTCCAATTTCAAGTCGTTCGCCTTCATACCTACATAATCGAGACTTCAGTCTTTCATATCAATTAATTTAGCTTTGAATAGCAATCTCAAGCAACAAATATTTTCATTATCAATTGTTAACATAATTCATAGCAACAAAAGCTTATTTTTTCTACTACCGTGCGTAAAGTACTCACTTCACGCACTATTCAGAAGACGTAAAATTTCACTTAACGCACTAGTGCGTAAAGTAATTCACTTCACACACTAGTGCGTAAAGTAATGTCAATGACAGATGTCAACACTGTCAATTTGGCATTTTTCTGGTAAATCATTTGACGCACAAGTACGTAAAGTGAAAATTCTTTACGCACTAGTACTAAATTTATTTTTTTACACATATTTGATTGGTAGTAGAAAAAAATTTGTATGCAATACGTGCGTAAAGCACCTTTTTTCACTCATGTGATTGTCGCACTCACCTTCGGCTCGTGCGTCAAAATTCACATTCGTGAAAAAAGATTCACTTTACACACTTGTTGCATAAATAACTATTTTTTTGTTATCATTAGATTCACAAATACTTACACGACATAGGTACCTGTTTCATCACAATCGATGTAACATTTACCGCAATTATTGGTATCGATTATCGATATAATCAAAACATTATTATTATTAAGTAGTTATTCTCAAACATTATGTACAGTTTATTGCATTTAGTTTTTTAGCTTATATTATTTCTGATTTTATAGTATTTAGACTTATTTTCAACCTAGAATATTTACTAGGTACTAACGCTGCCAGGAGTGTTGTGTTAGAAAATTTTGCTATTTAAAATATCCTCACTAAATTGCAATATCATTTTGCCTACTTATTCAGTTATATTGAGGGCATAATGGCGGAGGAAAAAAGATTGTTAGAATTGCAAGCTAGACTTTCAACTTTAATCGATACAAGAGCCTTAATTTGTCAAGCTCTTGACAGATTCATAAATTTTATCAACAATTTCACAGATTCCTCCAGAGTTTATGAATTGCATGCCAGACTGGATAAGGTGCAATTGATTTGGAGCAAATTCTTCACCATAAATTCAAAATTAGAGTTAATAGATGTTGAAACAAATCATCAAGCAGAACGTTTGAAATTTGAGGATAAGTTTTTTATGGTTGTTGGTGATGCCAAACGCATTTTAGATAGTCATTTCTCCAAACCAGCAACAACCTCACCTCAGTCATTCAGCCAAGGTGCAGCAAACATTAATACTACAAATAATGCTAATTTGCCAAAAATCAAACTTCCTGAATTTAGTGGTGCTTATGAGCAGTGGCTGCAGTTTGCAGACACTTTCAAATCATTAATTCATAACAATCAATTCATTACAAAAATCGAACACTTCTGGTACTTAAAATCATGTATCAAAGGCGATGCTGCCAACAGTTTGGCATCTCTAGAAGTTTCAGAAATAAATTACGAAAAGGCATGGGATATTCTTTGTGAAAGATACCAAAACAAAAGGGTCATTATACAAACACATTTAAAGTCATTTTTTGAATCACCAGCCATAACAAAAGAATCTCACGTAGCCCTCAGAAACCTGGTTGACACAACATCTCAGAATCTTAGACCATTAGAATTTTTAGGTTTACCTGTAGATTCATGGGATGCAATGGTAATTTATCATGTTGCATCAAAATTGGATCCCATCACCCGACGTGAATGGGAAGCTTACTCTATCAAATTGCCTTCTGACACTCCCTCGTTGAGTGATTTAACCTCTATTCTTAACAAAAGGTGTCAAATGCTAGAAAATATCAGTTCACACAAGCAGGCTTCACTTCCAGTTCTGCCCAGAATTTATAATAGTAAAAATATTAATAAAACCCGATCCTTTGCCACTGTTGAAGCCAATTGCATTCTATGTAAAAAAGGCCATTTCATTTTCACATGCACTGATTTTTTGAAATTAACTCCGCAGGAGCGTTTCAATGAAATAAGAAGGCTCAAGGCGTGTGCCAACTGTCTTCGCGCAGAACATATTTCAAAGGATTGTAGAAGTATTGCTACATGCAAAAGGTGTTCAAAAAAGCACAATACTTTATTACATTTTATGTCACCTAATCAAAATCAGCCAAATTCGACTTCCAATGTTATTCAGACCAGACACTATACCTATAATATAATAACATCCATTCGACATTGTTTT